CCCCGCCCCCGCCCCCAGCGCGGCGGCCGCGCGGCCGTTCCAGGCGGTGTCCACGCCGCCCTCGCCCCGCGCTGTCCTCGCTCGGGGAAGCTGCAGGCGCACGTGTCCCCCGGGGCGGGGCGAGACAGACAATGGGGCAGCGGGGGAAGGGAGCGGCGTGGAGATCCGCAGACCTTTGGCTAAGCTAGCCGGCGGGACGCAAGTGCGGGAGTAATTTCGGGGAGACCGGGTCTCCCTGGCTGGACAATGGGACCTCCCAGGGCCCCGCGCCGCTTCGCTTTCGCGAGAACCTTGGACAGAGGGAGGGGCGTCCGAGGCTCAGACGGGGAAACCCCGGCCGCTTTTGAGAGGGGACGGGGTTGGCTCCGCTGGAGCGAGAAGCGGCTCCGGCCTTGGGATGATACGAAGGCCAGATTTGGAAGCGAAACCGCCTGGTATAGAGTTGTGCAATACTCCATTTCAGTCCCTGGCCTTTTAAGCAGTTAAGGGCTTCCTCATAGCACAGTTTGAGCAACTTGAAGCAGCACAAAGCTGCGTGATTAGAGCAGCTGTGAAGAACATATCTGTTTCTTTTCAAAATCCTTGGCAACTAAATCTTGTGTGAAGTGACATTTCCTTTGTAACCGGTTTACTAGGTACCCGAAAGACAAGACAAAGGCATTTGAATTTCGGACGCGATATGGATACTAATTTTATCCAATGCAGCTCTAATGAAAAATAATGTCCCACCGGTTTGAAAACAAGCTTATTTTTAAGAGCTCACTGTTTCCCTAAATAAGCTCAATGCTATGACAACCGATTTGTGGTTCAAGAAAAAGTTAGGTGAGCACTCTTCAAAGTGCTTAATTTAAGCACGTAAAATGCCAGGTTATTCTCATAGGTTCTTGGATCAAAACATGAAATACTTGACCAAAGTACTATGTAGCCAACCTGTTTAGGAAGGATCAGAGATCACTACTTAAAATCCCTTACTGTCAAACATGTACCTGCTGTGGTATTCAGGTAATTCAACAACAGAGATTTTCGCTCATAAACCAAAAGTCATAGATAATACTGTAAATGAAAAACAATCAGTGTTTAATATAAAAATGAGTAACCTTATAGATTAAAGAATGAAAATAATAGATTTGAACCATACAACGTTTTTTATTTAGACCTTCCTGGAAAATCCACGTTCCTTTAAGGGAGGAAAAAAGTGCTTCTACCTAGGTAATGTCATCTACCAAATGACCAAATACTTCCAAAGTAAAATCTCTAGCTCTAATTGCTTTGTCTAGCCACCCCCCTAGACCTGTATTTGCGCTTTCAGGCACTCAAAAAACTTAGGTGATCTTCCCCTAATCTTCCATTTCCAGAGTTCCCGTTTCAAGTTGCCCACTTGCATCCAGCAGCAAGCATTACCTGGAAACCAGAGTCATCCAGGACACTACCTTCTGCCTGAATGCCATTATCAGTTAAAGCAAGTCTTGTTAATTTTGTCTCCCTAATATATTTCCACTTCTCTCTCTGTTGCAACCAGGGGACAAGGCACCATCATTACCATTTCAACTAATGGTATATAGCCTCCTAATTCATCCACTCTTAGAGCTTTCCTAATCCATTCAAAACCCAAGTCTCTCTCTCTCTCCCTCTCTTCCTCCCTCTTTCTCTCTCTCTCTCTCTCTCTCTCTCTCTCATTTTCTCAGTTTTTATGTGTCTGTTTGCTAGCTTCTCCACACACACACACACACGCGCGTAGATATATTGCAAATAAGACCCTATGGAGCATCTGCTTGAAAACATTCATTAGCTTCCTATTACGCTTAGAACAAGAGCCAAAATTCTTAATGAGATCAACAAAGCCCTCCATGATCTGTCCTGCTACCTGTCTCCCCAGCCACATCTTAGCTACTCTCCCAGCTTCAGCTAGCCTCCCCTCAATTATGGTATTTCTCAGGTTTGCACATACTGAGGGCCTAGACAGAGAACTAACTGATGCCCTGAGCAAGCTTGAGAAAAAAGGCAATCAGCCATGCTCTCCATTTGACATCTTTTTAAGTGAAACAATAGTATAATTTTCCTCCTGACCTATAGAACTTCTTATTCCAGGCTTGACTCCAAGAATTATTACTATTACTGAAACATCGGGAATCCCTAATAATACTTTTTTTAAAAAACCAAACAGTAGATTGATTCACTTGATATGATAGATACACTGAGATGGATCAAAATGTTTATGAAAGATCTGGCACAAGAAAGTACTCAGTAAATATGTCCTTACTTCCCTGAATCTTCTTTAGTACTTAGAACAGGATTCAATGCTTAGTAAATATTGGCTGAATAAAGCCAAAGGATAATAAACTGAGACCCAAAAATCCTTGGACCTAATACCAGATCTGCTTGGATAAATTATTTCACTTCTCAGTTCTACTTTGTCATCTATAAAAGAGTGTATTGAAACAATTTTTAAGATCTCTTCTAGTTCGGATACTTTATAATTTCTAAAAAATTTCCTCAAACTCTTTCTCTGGCTTCTCATTGCTTAAAAGTATTCCAAGATCCTATTTGCCACTTAAGATCCTCCCCATTTGGATTCCAACTTCCCTTCATATGGACTTTTGCTCCAAATAAAACTAAGAGCAACAATAGAGATTGATAATACCCAATTTTGAATACTATCCCCAGCATGGACATAGAGAAATTGACACTCACATTCACTGCTAGTGAGAGGATACATCTTTTACAAAGTAATTTGGCAAAATGCTTACTGCAGTATTGTCTGTAATGTGTGTGTGAAAATAAATATAACCCAAACATCTCGTAATAGGGGACTAGTTGAATAAATAATAGTGAATACATATAGTGTATTATTCTTGAGCCATTAAAAAGAATGAAGTAATTATAAATGTTCTAACATGGAAACAGACCCAGGTTACATTCTTAAAAAAAAAAAAAAGAAAGAAAGAAGAAGCCACCTACAGAACAATGTAGAGTATGGCATTTATTGATTCAGTTGAACACCTTCCATGTACCAAGCTCCATCGTATGCTCTAGGTTTACAATAATGTATGTCAAGATAGACATAGGTAATCCATGACTCAATAAGCTGTGTGTATGTGTATAACTAGGTATGCATGGATATAAAAAAATTGTTTATACAGAAAACAATTACAATTAGAAGGACAGGGTGGAGGAAGAGCATCACTTTTTATTTCATACACTGGTGATTTTTCACTTGTTAAAATAAATATTTTTTTAATTATATTTAATTATTTTTTTTACTTCATTACTGTCTTTACATCCATGTAACCTTTGAAGTACTGAAAAGATGGAGATGAAGCTTATCGACCCTTTCTCAAAAAAAGATTTCAAATGAAATATATATAGGATTACATATGAAACACATTAAATATATATGAAATTTGAATATATATGCAGTACATTAAAGTATAGTTATCAAAATATTTAAGCAAACCAAAGTATAATGCTTCAGAAAAGAGAGAAGGGTGCTTAAGGAGAAAGCAATCAACTTTGTTGAATGAGTGCAGTTAAGAGTTTGGGTTAAGACTGGAACAGAAAAGCGGTCTTAAGAAGAGCAGTTTCTGTAGTGACAACCAGGTTAGAATGGGGTAAGGGAGCAATGAGAGCCAGCATATGTGGACTGCTCTTTCAAGACCTTGAGAGACAGCTCAGAGAAACAGGTGTTTGCTTAAAGGAGATTTGGGTTTAAGACAGGGTTTTTGGTCCTGTTTTGGTTTGTTTGTTTTGTTTTTTAAGACGGGAGAAGCATATTTATATACTTGTGCATAAAATCTAATATAAACAAAAAGGTCAGGGTTGCAGGAGAGAGGAGTTGAACAAACAAGTAAGATTTTTTAAGACAAGAATGAAGAAAATAGATGTAAATATTAGAGAGGGAGGGGATAGGCCAACAGAAGTCAGGAGGAACATAGATTAAATATTCAGAGATTGGCAAAGATAGTTCATGAAAGACCACACACAGCAAGAAAGGAGACACAAAGTTGTCTTTGAGCCTCCTGGGTCCTGTTGTCTTCCTAGGTCCAGTTCCTATGAGTGCTGATTGTATAATCATTCCAGCATTCAGTCTCAGATTCCTCAATTACCTTTTAATGCCCAACTCTTCCCATGTATCCTTAAAGTAACACTGTCTTTATTTGGCTAAATTGAATTCCTTAACTTAGCATAAAGGGCCCAATTAAAACATGCCCATATAAGATTTAACCATTTACGTGAATCAGTTGCATTACTGTGTCCATTTCTGCATCATATATGATAACATGTACATAATCAACTAGCTTTTCTCTCCCTGTATATGCATAATGATTAGTAAAGTCATTGAAAGACCAGCAAGAAAAGCTTAAGGAAATAAAAGTCCTGGATCCTAGATAACTAGATCATAGAATCTTCCAAGAAAAGAGAAAGATAATCATATAGTTTATCAGACTACTAACTTGTATATCTTCAGTCCTGTTTTTATATTAAATATATTTTATTGTGAAAGATATATGTTCCTAATAAAAATTTAAGCA